AAAGTAGATTGCACAGGGCCACACAGGTAGTATCATAGGTGGAATCTGAACCCAGGTCCTCCGACTTCAGAGCTGGTGCTCTTTCTAGTTACTGAGCTGTTCTAAACAGAACTTAGGGTCAATCTCTCGAGGTTGGTGCTGATCTTTCTCACTTGATTAGAATATATTTGTGCAACTACGGAATCAAGAATCAATCCCCTTCTCCAAGCCAGCTTTTCTGATGAAAGGACTGGTCAGTCTTTCTCCTGTTACCAGCAGCATTCATTCCTTACTTCTCTCGAGGGTACCAACACCCTCCCAGGCACCCACATTCATAACCTTGGAGTCATTTGGACCCTTCCCTCCAGGTCACTGACACCTCTACACACATACACAAACACTCACACTCAGAGCTGCCAAATCCTCTCAATTCTACCTGAAAATTAACTCTTTCACATATCCCCTTCTCTATAGACATACGGACACCACTCTTCTTCCATCCTTATCACCTCTTGCATAGAACATGGTTAGTATTCTTCCCTCCTCAGATTTCCTTATCTGGGTATATTATATGTTATATGCCCTCAGTAGAATGGAAGTTTCGCAAGGGCAGGGACCATTTCATTTCTCTCTTTGTACCCACTTTGTGCCCCCAGTCATCAGTAGTTGATTAAATAATGTTGTTGAACTGCTTCACCAGCCCCATGATGCCTTTTTTAAGCTTCCCCACGAACCGGTTGACATCTCAGCTGACAAGCACACAAGACAGTATGAGCAAGGATTTGGTAAGCTACCAGACAATCATTTCCCCACTGTAGAGGACAAAGTTCCCTGGTACTTCTTTTACACGGCTTGAGAATAACAATCTGTTCTCTACAAAAGAGTCCCAGCCAACCAGCTGTGAACGTATAATACATTATGTCATCAGTTAAACAAAATTAAAATTACAGAAAGGTACATATATAATAAGCATGAGGTCAAAATAAAAAGAAATACAAACTATTAACAATGAACAAAAGAAATTCAAGGTTACTAATACAAGAAATGATCATTTAAAACAACTGAGATTTCAGCTCATATCCAGCAAGTTAACAAACACAATAGAAGAAGCAATTGTTGCTGTTGGATGGGCTATGGGAACATAAACCCACTAACATACAATTGGTAGAGCTTGGTTCAAACATTTGGGAAAACAATTCAGGTATTCTAGAAAAGTCACGCAGCTGTTCATAGCTTTTGACTCAGCAACCCTATTACTGGGTATAGCCCTCAAAAAGTTCTCCTATATAACAAAATAATCACAGCAATACTTTATAGAAGAGGAAACTGAGGCAAATGGGGTTAAGTGAATTGTCCAGGGTCACACAGCTAATAAGTGTCTGAGGCCACATTTAAATTCAGGTCTTCCTGACTCCAGGCCCAAAGTTCTATCATTGCACCACATCACTGCCCCAAATGTATCAATGTAACAGAAGACAATCACATTGCATGAAATGATAAATGAAAATAAATTTTTTTAAAAAGCATAGAAAGCCTTGAACAAGCTAATGATGAGCAAAAAAAAAAAAAAAAAAAAAAGAGTGGAACCAGGATAACAATATACACAACTCAAAGTGATCTGTGACCTTATTGATATGAATGTCCCCCCCAGTGACGCAAATCACAACCCATCCACGCCTGCGTATTAGTGTGTTTCCCATCCACATCCTCTTGAAAGTTTGTCACAGTGAGTCTACCAGAGTTTCAGAGGTCTTCCTAACCTTTGAATGACAGTTCTACAGAAAACCAGAAAAGCACGAATACTGTAGAACAAGCTAGTAATGGAAAAGCAAAAAAAGCAGTTAAAATGCAGGCTAAATACAAGAACCAGCCTTGACACCAACCAATAGATGATGAAAGCACAAAGGGGCAGGGGGAGAGGGGGACTACAGGTGCAGAATACTATATATGCAGTTAGTACAATTGCTGCGGGATAGTTGGTTGTGCTTAACTTTTCCTTTAGTACAGAGAATGGTCAAAGGGAGGATTTTCTATAGGGTTGGCAGAGGAAAATTATTAGGAAATGATTAGCATTTTTAAAAGAGTTTATTTATAAGCCTAAAATTTTTTAAATACAAGAATCCTTTAAAAAAAATAAGAATCCTTCTCTTGACCTCAGATTCTTCATCTACAAAATGAGTTAGGCTAGATGCTTTCTGAGGTCCCTTCAAGCTCTAGACTTATGATCCTGATTTATGAACCATATTAGTTATCCTATGGGTAGAAGACTTGAAAACACCCCCACACACTCCCAATCAGAATCCTTTCCATCCCTCCTGCCTCCACTCAAATGGCATCTCCTTCCTGAACCCTTCACCGATTTCTCACAAAGAGATCTGTTTCCCACTTTTGAATTTTACTCATATCATTCCAATGGAAAAATGTTGGGTTTTTTTTTTTTGGTATCATGGCAGCTTAAGTGAAGCCTATGGACCCCTTCTCAGAATTTTTTTTTTATTTGAAATTTCTCAGAATTTTTTTTAATTAAAGGAAATGTTAACTTTCAGTTAGAGGTTAGTGAAAATAAAGAAAGCATTTTTCCCACCCAAGTTCAGACTCCCTAAAAATCTATAAACTGGACCACTGGGGGAGCTGTGGAGCCCAGGTTGAAAACCCTATATTATAGTATCTAATTCCCCCTTGCTAGAATGTTAAATTGCTTGAGAGTAAAAAAAAAAACAAGACAAAACCAAAAAAAATGTATCTACCATTTTTGTCCTGTCCTCCTGCCTGTCTTCAAACACTCCATAAAATGTATGTTGCATTAAAACTCTGGCCTTCATCAGAGCCTAAAATTTCCTGCTAACGTGAAAACCGGTCATCCTTCAAGCTTTGCCTTGCACCAAGACAAATACATTTACGGAGACAAGAAAAGCAAAGTTAGATACCTCTAAGATCAGGATAGGGAGATACTATTCGGCCACCTCACATCCAGTCATCTAAACCCGAGTTCAATCTTATGGTCACTCAACATTCTTTTAAGCCTGACTCTGCCTTCAATAAGCAGATGAGTTAAAACATGGCAGGTATGATGCTATCTTCAGATAAGGAACTGTGCATACCCCAGGAACTAAGGGAAATACTGAAGGGGGTGAAATGAGATTCTCACTAACTTGATTGCTTGATTGGAAAAACCTTGAGGGGATAACATCTTCTATCTCAATTTTATTACTCTATGTTTGAATTAATACCAACTCTGCAGATAATCCTCAGCCATTACTCAGAGACCACAGGGGAGGAGGGGAAATTCTGGGAAAGGTACAAACCAAACATTGGAAAAATCATAGACTCATAGGATAGGATTGTACACTTAGGTCTAGAATGTACCTCAGAAGCCATCCAGTTCAATCCTTTTATTTTACTCATATAGAAACTGAGGCAGAGATGTGAAGTGACTAGCCCGTGGTCACACAACTAGTTAGAGGCAGAATTTGAATTCGAGTTTATTTTATTGAGTTTCAAATACCTTTAGCATTAAAAAAAAACAACCTCCTGCCTAATTTTTAGTTCTGAAGAAATAACTTGCTTCCCCTTTAATTAGTGAAGTAGCTCGCTTTTCAAAGTGATTTAACTTATTCTGAATTCATTTTCCCCACTTGGGTGCCCAATTAAGCCTTGAAAGCTTCTAGTCGTTTATAGTACCCGTTATTATTGAAACCTGGCATTGAGAGCATCCCCAGGCAGCCTGGGAAATCTAAAAGGCAGTCAAGTACAAAAGTTGGATTCCTCTGATAGCAGAAAGGATTAAAAATAGATGTCTGTCAATGAATGGATGTATTTTGAAATCCTCATCAATGTGCTCACCCATCCTTGTAAGAATCTGTTAAGATTCTTCAGATGCAAAAAGAAAACTGTGAGGCAGCTAAAAAGTGACTGCCAGAAGAACCAGCCCTGGTCCCAGCAAAGGCTTAGAGGTGGGGAAATAGGTTCCCCAATGCACTTTGTTGGCAATTCACCTGCACATCCATCCCCAGCCTCCCGTACCTGAGTAATCATTTTAAGTGGGTTATGCCTTGTAAGGCAGGTCCCTTTAAGCTTGCCGGAGGGAACAGGAAATGGAGGCAGCCTCCTGCATTGGTTGGCCTTTGCCTTTCTCACCTTGCCTAAAACTCCTAGGTTCTCCCACAATAGAAGCTCTTATGGCAGTGGCTAATTTTCCCAGTAATTCCTTACCAGACTTCACTTTTTAAACACCTTTCACAACTGATCTAATACAAGGGAAAGAGAAAAATCATTCTGAGTTTCTATTTCCTAACCAAGTCACTCAACAGCATCTCTGATAAAGGATGAACTAAATTACTTTTCTCACAAACAGAAGCATTGATAAGAACCCTTAACTGGTATCTTTAGCACAGCTTGTGGTGTGAGTCTGAAATCTTGGGGACTGTGATTTATTCTGAAATTGGAAATATTTGCAAAGAGCAGTGTCTACCCAGCACCTTTATTTCCAAACTGACTTATTTTTTAGGGTCTCCGGTTTTAAATTAATTTAAACTCACCCCAGCCTGATGAGGTAGATGTTAGCATTACCTTCCTTGGCCAAACTGAGGCCTGAAGAACTTGGGTGACTGGCCCAAGGTCACCCCGGCAGCAGAAGCCTCAGGGGGAGTTGAGCCGTCACCCTCCTCCCAACCCCTCCTCGGATCCCTGCAATACAAATCTCTCTCTGGTGGCTTCGGAGAAAGAGAATTTTCCTGGAAAACAAGTCCCCACTCCCAAGCCTTAAGTTTGGCGAGCTTGCTGATCCTTGCTAGTATCTTTGTACAACTCTGCCCTCAGCCCTGATTTCACAGCTCGGCACCCCCAAGACGATGACCCTGCCTCCCTCGAAAGCCAAGCTGCGGCAGCCCCCACCCCACCTCTTCACTCGGACCCAGAAGTTTACACTCTATGATCAGAGGGTATCCCGAACAAGGACAGCTGAGGGATTGCCCCCACGCCAGACCAGTAGGGGGGAAAAATGAGCAAGTAAACCCATTTACCGTATGCAGCCAAGGAGGACATCCTGGCTCGGGGTCTGCCCAGGCTGGCACCGGAGCTGGGCAGCGCAGCGGCGTCGGGCCCTGGCGCTGGCCGCTCGCTCCCATGGACCGGCTCCACCTGGCCGCGGTAAGGCATACGCTTCCCACTTGCAAGCCCAAAGTCTCCTGCCTCCTGAGCATGCCCAGTTCTCCGGCGAAAGCCACGGAGAAGTTTCAGCGCTGAGCTCGCCTCCCCGGTCTTCAGCGCACAGCAGAAAGGGGAGGAAGGAAAAGAGAGGGGGCGGGGGGAGGAAGAAAGGGAGAGACGACGGGGACTGAGCTTAGGGTACTTGGCCAGGGCAGAACTGGCGAGGGAAGCAAGGGGACACTCCGCGGGGCTAGGGGTGGGAGGGGCAAGGAGGAGAGGTGGGCGGGGCCCGGGGAAAAGCTGATCCCCTCCAGTTGAGGCTTCAGTCCAAGTCCGCGATGGGAGCACTCCTCGGCGCCCACTGGAGAGACTTAGAGGTGGGGGAGGGGAGGAGTGCTCATTCACCCAAGCTTCGGATTCAGGGACGCTGAAGGGTTTATGGTGTCTCCAGTTTCCCCGCCTTAAGCCAGCTATGCATCCTTCTAGTGATACACAGAGGGAGCGGGAAGTGGGACTCTGCGGACCATAGGTGTTAGACAGCTCTAAAACCTGTTATTCATCTACCATTTGTCTCTCTTCCTGTTTGTCTCTGACATAGTAATAGCTAACGTTTACAGAACACTTACTATGTGCCAGGCACTCTACTAAGCGCTTTAAAATATCTCATCTGATCTTCACAACCTTGGGAGATTGGTGCTTTTATTATCCTCATTTAACAGTCAAGGAAACTGAGGCAAACAGAATAAGCGACTTGTCCGGGGTCACACACTTAGTAGGTGTCTGAGGCTGGATTTGAACTCAGTTCTTCCTGACTCCAGGACCAGAACTCTATACACTGTGCCACCTACCTAGCTGCCTCTCTATGTCTATCTTACACAGGAGCAAATTGAGGAATTGAGGGGGCAGTGAAGTGACAAGTCCCCAGTCACAAAGGTAATGAGAGGGCTGAGATTTGAAGACAAATACTCTGAATGCAGAGCCAGGCACCAAGTTTGCCTCCTATGGGCATGGGGGAGGGGGTGGGGAGGGGACTACACCTGTGATTTCATTGTTATGAGAAGTTCCCAGATGAGGACATTCCCTCTACCAGTACATGTGGGCACCTCCTCTTCAACTTATACTCCCAGAATACTTTGAGAGGTTGGGATGAGCCGGAGTCACAAAGACAATGTGTCAGAGGTGGGAGAAAGGATTGTCTAGCAGACTTGGCAGCAGGGAGGGAGGAAGGGGAGACTGGAATCAAATGAATCCTTCTTGTCCCCCCAGCTATGATATGTTTCAGTAAATGCACTCATAAACCAAGAAATGTTCATTTCCTGGATCATCTTTCACCAAGAGTGAAGTGAGGTTCTCTTCTGGAGAGCTTTTAATAGGGGTGTTAGCAGCTGGGGAAAATGACCATATTTGGAATTCCCACAGCATCCTTTTCAGACAACTTCCTTGGGGTCACAGTAAAGGAAACACATAACAGGACCTGTCCTCCTACTGGCTGCTGGCAGCCACCCCACTACACCCCCACCTTCTGCCTCTCTCTCCTTGAGAAGTCCCTCCTTTGGAGGAGCTTTGGAATTCCACGTGGGGCAGGTTCAATCTGGTCCAAAAAGACAGGAAAAGTTTCAGGTCCTGATGGACTCAGGCACAGGGTACCCAGGGCAAGAGGTGGGAGCTGACCAGCTCTTAGATCACACAGCATCATTTATAGCATGGGCACGAAGCCAGCTACCCAGGTGAAGCTTTCCAAATGGGATTGGTAGAATGCAAAGCACACACATCAATAAAGCTGGGCTTCAGGGGCCGTTATGATCAAATGGATTGCAGCTGTAAAATGGCTTTCCTTTTTTTTTTTTAATGAGATACAGGTGACTAGAAGAACGTCTTCCTCCTCCTCGCTCCCCCCAACATGAGTAGGTGGGGCTGTTTTGACTTCAGTGTTTGATGCAAAAATTCTCCCTTCTGATAATACAAATTCTTATAAACAGCCAGTGAGGCAAAGACATAATCTCTCAATTGGACTTCTGCATGGGCTATTAGATTTTGAGCTAGAAAGGACTAAAAGTCATTTCATCCAACCTCCCTCATTTTTCAGATGGGGAAACAGAGACCCAAGAGAGGAAGTGACTTATCCAAGGTCACACAAGTGATGAGTGGCATTTGGGATTCTAACTCAAATCCTTGGACTCTAAATGTGTCACTCTCTCCACTGTCCTCTATTCTAAAAACTGTCCCTGATCCTTTTGGGGTAGTGGGCATGATGGTGAAAGCTCTGGGCCTGGATGTGAATCCCTGGCCTATCATTTACTGTGTTTGTGCCCTTGGGCAAGTCATTTCCCCTCTCAGATCCTCAGTTGGCTCTCCTGTAAAAGGAGGAGGCTGGATTCTATCACCTCTGAGGTTGCCATCCAGCTCTAGCTTTCTTCCGTGTTTCTGTGCACAGCTGCCCTCTACCTTCTCCCTTCCTATTTCCTTCTTCCACCCTCCCACACCACTTAGAAAGTTGTCCCCTTGCCCTCAAACCCCTAGATGCCCAACTCTCTCCATCCCATACTCTCCACCTCTGCCTGCCTAGATGCCCCAAGAGAGCACAGTGGTGCTCTAGTCATTGCTCTTAAGGCCCCTGTAAGCCACATTGTAAGCCCAACATTCCCTTTCACTCTTGAAAGAGCCTGTGGTAACTCCTGGAAAATGCAAATCTGGGGGAGGGTGGGAGCTTCATTGGGTCTTAAAGGAAGTCTCTTCTCCTCCACTTCAGCCCTCTTACGTCTCCTCCTCCACAAGGACCCATAGCTTTCTTTTTTAAATTTATTTTTTTACACGTGAAGTCATGCAAACATATTTTCATATTAGCTATGTTGCCAAAAATAAAAAAAAAATAAGAAAATTTTAAAAATTAAAAAAAAATGCTTCAATCTACACTAAGTCCATCAGTTTTCTCTCTGGAATGGGATAGCATTCTTCATCATGAGGCCTTTGGAACTGTCATATATTGATAAGAATAGTAAAATCTTTCACAATGGATTACCTTTACAAGATTGCTGTTACTGTGTACAATATCCTCCTGGTTCTGCTCACTTCACTTTTCATCAGCTCGTATAAGTCTTCCTAGGTTTTTCTGAAACCATCCCCTTTATCATTTCTTATAGCACAATAATATTTCATCACATTCATGTAGCCCACCTCTTTCACCCATTTCCCAGTTGATGGGCATCCCCTCAATTTCCAATTCTTGGCCACCACAAAGAGCTGCTATCACTATTTTTGTAAGTATGGGACCCATAGTTTTCAAATTGGAAGAGACCCTACAGGTCATAGGATCATAGATGGTAAAGCTGAAGATGACCTCAGAGGCCTTGTAGTACAAACTTCTCCTTTTACAAATGAGGGAACTGAGACCCAGGGAAGTCAAGTGACTTGCCCAAGGTCAAACAAGGAGTAAATGACAGACTGTATTTGAATCCAGGTCCCACAACCTCATTTTACAGATGGGGAAACTGAAGGCTAGTAGGTGTAGCAACCTGTCCAACATCACTGCTAGGTGGAGAGATTCGAACCCAGGTAGCTGGACCCCAAATCCAGTAGCTGCCCTCCCTCTCTCCAAGTGCTGCCTCTGGGTGGGTTTGTTCCCTGGTTTCTCAGACTACAACTACCTACTGACAAAGAGGAAAAACCCTGCTCCTTGCCTGGCCTCCAAGCACTTGCTTTCCCCTTTGTCTCATTCATTTTTCCCCTTTCCCCTTTCCTTTTTCTTAGACTCTTCCACTCCCAGGTGCCAGCAGCTTATCTAGTTCCTGCCCCTGCCTCTGCCCCAAGGGCCTTGGTGAGGAGAGATGCTGTGGCGAGGAGGAAGGGAAAGCAAAGGAGAGTGCTCATCTGCCACCCCACAGTATCTTACATCCAGCGATGGAAGGAACTTCCGAGGCTGGCTGGCCCCAGCCCCTCATTTGACTCTGGAGGAAACTGAGGCCCACGAAAGGTAAGTGACTGAACCAGAGAGGTCAAATAGCTCATCCAAGGCCACACAGGTCGTAAAGACCAGAGTCAGAATTCTACTGCAGCAGGTGGCTTCTGCCCCCCTTTTATGTCAATCTTGTCCACAACTCCTGCACAAAAGCCTCTTGCCCTAACTTCACTTCCCTCTAGATAAAAATAATAATAACAATATCTTAAAATGTCTATAGCCTTTTATATTTGACAAAGTACTTCTTTCACAACAAGCAGTGAGAAATCACTGCCCCCATTTTACAGCTCAGATAACAGAGGCTCACTGAAGTTAATGGCCAAATGGCTATGAGTGGTCTTGTGCACTTTTATAAAGTGACAGGAAGCCCCAGATAGAATCCACCTTAGAAGCCTTCTATTTCAATGCTTTCGTTTGACAGATGAGGAGACCGCAGCCTCCAGAAATCCAAAACATCCACGTTTCAGCCCCTCAGTTGGGCTGCCCACTTCTGTCCTGCATGTTCCAAGACTACTGAAATAGCAGCCTTTGGCTGATGCCAACCTTTTTTGTCTGCTACTCGTCTCCACATCAGGGGATGTGGGTGAACCACATGCATTTGATTACAATCTAATTTTCTTGGGAGCATATCCTGTGGGTGGCAGTTATGCATCCTGCTATATGACCACAGTGAATATCCAAATATCTCACTGCCCACCACCTTGTGCTCTCAAGGTTATTGCTAAATTGTCTTTGAATATTCTTCCCATTTTTAATTTCTCTAATTAATCTCTAATTAGTCTTTTCATGCTTTATACACCGAGGCAACAAAGAACCCTGGACTTCAGGTCAGGAGACACTGGAGTGGAAATCTCAGTTTTGACACTAATTGTGTAACTGGGAGGTTGGGGGTGGGAGGGGACAGCTAGATGGTACAGTGGATAGAGTGCCACACCTCAAGTTGGGAAGACTCATTCTTTGTAAGATGGATATAATAATACTTGGATCCCCTCCCTCATGGGGCTGTTTTGAAGATCAGTCAGTCAACAAGAGGGCAGGTAGGTGGTGCAGGGAA